CACACCATCAAGTGCCAATTGGGAAAAGGTGTGCACATAGTGCAGACAGCTGTGAGTACAATGAGGGTTTATGAGCAGGTGAGGGCATGTGGGTGGGTGGGAAGGAACAGAGGCATGAATAGGTAGCCTAGTTAGGGGCAGGGGAGGAGCCCTGGGCACTCTTTGCCCGGAGCCCCCCAAAACCTGGAACCAGCCCTGAGCTATTGAATCCAAAGCACTCATACTAGAGAAACAGTACTTCTTTTGGCTGGAGGAGGGCAGGACATTTTTGCCAGTTTCTCTTCCCCATTGCAGAACCCCACTTTAACCCCCATGTGGTTTGTGTGGGTCCCCTGACTTACAGATGATGAACCGGAGAGGACTCAGTTGTCTGTAGCAGCAGCAGAGGAAATGCGGGAAAGTATTCCACAAGTGTTACTCTGCTATTTGGATTCAGCTCCAGGGCTGAACCCAAGGCCTGTGGCTGCTTCTCATCACAAGCAAACTGAGGTCTGTCTGTGACAACTGAATACATCCACTGTCTGTACACAGCCAAAAGTGGGGCCCTTTGGAACCACAGAAAGTAAAACGCACGTCTTAAAATGTTTTCAAACAATATCATTTCACAGGGACTCCATTCAAACAGCAGCTAATATTTAGTGCACATAGCAACTTTCTAGCAATGTTCTCCATTTTATGTATGTAGAGAATTTATGTATGTAGAGAATATTTAGAGAATTTACATGCCTCTTCTCCACAGACCTACTTGACGAGAAACGAAAAAAGCCTGTTTTACTTATATAACATGCAATTATTCAACTGCTGAAACAGAAAATGAGACCAAATCTAGTAAGGATATCTACTGTTGAATAAGTCTAGCAAGGACATCTGCTGATGTATACTTCCCCCTTTATTTAAAAAAAATATTTCTAGATGAAAAATGATGATACACGCAGGCTAAAAAGACTTTGAAAAAGAGTAAGACCCTTAGTTAACACAATATCAGAAGGAAAAACCAACAGCAACTCACATGCACCTTGCAAGAATTTCCACTTTTCTAAGAGATCTGCTTAGTATAACACATACTGTATCAACACATAGTATTTTTATTGGTAGGATACTATAGACACCCTCTAAGTAGATTGGGAATGGAGTTGAGCCAACACAAGTATTCTTATTAAAATTAAATTTACCTAAAACATCATGCTTCATCGTACTAGAGCACTAACACCTTTAAAAAAAAATTAATAGAGCAAATATAAACCATTAAAGTTTTGCCCAGGCTACAGAGCTGGCAACAGCTATCAAGCAAGTTAGAAAGCAACCAACTTTTTAATGTTAATGCCATAAAAATGCAGCCATATCCCACCATTTCAACAATGACAAGCTGTAGGGATTTTTTAAAAAGAGAATATCACTTACTTGGAAAAACTTAGTTTCCACCTCATCATGCCATTGTTATTCTCAGAGCAGCTGCCCAGCAGATATTGACCTAAAATAGCAAAAGAGAATAGTGCATGTGTCATCTGATTGCTTGCAAAGGATATTGACATTACCACTTGGTTTAGCTCTTTCCACAATTTGGGACTAGCTATGCTTTGCTGCCTGCTATTAAGCTATCTTCAAGGTAAACGCTCGGACGTGACCTGATTCGGTGAGTCCTTAAATGAAGTCCAACCCAAAGTACTTAATCTGAAGTAAACTTTTCTTCTTGCTAGGTATGTTTGAGATTGCAGGCTTAGTTGTTTCATATGTTTACAAAAGGCAAACCCAGGTTCACCACCAAGAGTATACTCAACACGAAGCTGTAGCCAGTCCAGGAATACGGGTGAGTGTTCCTGTATTATAGGTTTGTTTGTTGCATCCACACTTTACAATTTTAGATATCTATTTCAGACATCTTAAGTGTCTGAAAGCATACTGAGTGAACTGTGCGTGAGTTTAGCTGCGGTCAAGTGGCTGAACATAAATAAGCTAAAGTTAAATCCAAACAAAATGGAGGAGACGCTAGTCAGGAAGCCTGATGTCTTAGAGGGTTTTATGCTCACTACTTTTGCTAGGGTTAAAAGAACTCTGTCACATTCTATTAAGAGTTCGGCATTTTTATTATTAGAAAGAAAACAGATGGGGTGGTTGCAAAGAGTGCTTTATTTCAGCTTTATCTTGTACAGAGATTGGCTCCCCATTTTTAGATTCAACTGATCTGGCCACATCAGGCTATCCTTTGGTAACCTTGATGCCGCACTGCTGTAATGTGTTTTACATGGGGCTTTCCTTAAAGACAATCTGGACACTTCAGCGGGTTCAGAATGCGGCAACTTCTATGCTATCTGTCTCTTCCAGCATGTACGCAGTTAGATCAGTCTCTTCCCATACATGAGTGTCCACTGTGAAGCTCCCTCACTACTGAACAGCTTTTCTAAAAATTGCATGGTTCTGTAAACTGTGCAAGGCTAAAATCCTAAGAAAGCTTTTCAGCAGATATATTTCTGAGGAACATGTCTATCTATGCTGGTTCCTCTGTTATAACATTTTAATATTCAATATATATTCAGTATGATGGAATCTTCAGTGTTAGCCCCCTAGAGTTCATCACAGAAGAAAAGCTGGTTAAAATGCCTTAGATAAATATATATCATTTCATAAATTTTAAAAAATTATGCTGCAACAGGTGCCATTATTATTTTGTTTTATATAATTCTGATGAAGCAGTTTCATCTTACTGTTATGAATTAAGTTTCATCTTGGCTTAAAATAGCAGTCTTTAAAAACATGTATATGAGAGCCAGTTTGGTGTAGGAGAGCCAGTTTGGTGTAGTGGTTAAGAGTGTGGACTCTAATCTGGGAGAACCAGGTTTGAACTAGGGCTGCCAAGCCACGGCGGGGGATCCGCATGTCTTTACAGGGGGACAGCGATACGTGTTGCACCGCCATCACCAGAATGTAACGCTACGTGTTGCTCTGGCAATGGGGCTGTTTGGAGTCCCGTTGCCAGAGCGACGCGTAGCATCACATCCTGGCGTCGGTGGTGCAACGCGTATCACTGTCCCCCGCGGCAGGGATCCTGTAAAGACATGCGGATCCCCCGCCGCGGCTTGGCAGCCCTAATTTAAACTTTGATTCCTCACTCCTCCACATGCAGCCAGCTGGGTGACCTTGGGCCAATCACAGCTCTCTCAGAGCTCTTTCAGCCCCACCTACCTCACAGGGTGTCTGTTGTGGGGAGGGGAAGGGAAAAGAGACTGTAAAGCGCTCTGAGGCTCCGAGAGAAGGGTGGGGTATAAATCCAATCTCTTCTTTTCTTCTTAGAAGTCATGTTAGATTTTACAAAAATTACCAGGAGGGAACCACAAGTATCAAATTCCAGATTTTTTTAATGCAAAGTATATTTTTCCTGTGAACAAACCAACCACAGAGATTCAGTTGTCCATATTAGGAAATTTTCTTGATACCCAAGTCTATTTCTCTAAATAGTCCACCTGTGGTTACAAGAGAAGACATTCCTAAGCAGGTCAGAAGTAAGTCCCATTTTATTCAGTAGGGTTTACTCCCAGGAAAGCATTCTCAGGATTGCAGCCTGAGTCATGGATCCTATAGAAAAGAAAAATTAACCTAATGCATTAATTGCAGATATATGTTGTTACCTGCCCTGAGCCTACAATCTGGGGAAGGCAGGCTATAAGTCTAATGAAATAAATAAATAAATAAAGGCTAACCCCAAACCCCAATTCATATAGCTGCCTTTCAGAGAGTGCATAACGTTAAGAGAGAACTGATTTTCTAAAGAGCAAGAGTCCAGTAGCATCTTCTTCAGATATCTGAAGAAGTGAGCAGTGACTCATGAAAGCTCAGACCCTGCCACAACTTTTGTGAGTCTTTAGGGTGCTACTGGACTCTTGCTCTTTTCTACTGCTACAAACAGACTAACACAGCTACCCATCTTGATGATTCTCTAAATTTTATTTATTTTATTTATTATTTAATTTCTACCCCCCCTTCCCACCGTGGCAGGCTCAGGGTATATGTATTATATATGTAGTATTTCTTCACCCAAAGAGTGATTAACACATGGAATTCACTGCCACAGGAAGTGGTGGGTGCTACAAGCATGGACGGCTTCAAAAGGGAATTAGATAAGCATATGGAGCAGAGGTCCATCAGTGGCTATTAGCCACAAGGTATAGCTAGGGGCTCTGGGGCAAGTGATGCTCTGTCTTCTTGGTGCTTGGGGGGGGGGGGTCAACAGGGGGAGGGCTTCTAATGTCCTGGCCCCACTGCTGGACCTCCTGATGGCACTGGTATTTCTGGCCACTGTGTGACACAGAGTGTTGGACTGGATGGGCCTTTGGCCTGATCCAACATTGGCGTCTCTTATGTTCTTATTATATGCAAAAATCAGTTTCCCACTCCATGGCTCAATCAATGTTTTGTAGGTTTGCATCAGGTTGCAGAACTGCATTATGATGAAGAATTCAGGTGACACATTATGCTACACGCACAGGGCAATCATGCAAACAGGCACCATGCCAGGCACATAGATTGCTGTGTGACCTGGCCCCTTGATGATTGACTTTGGCCACTCATAGCTGTCATTTGCCTGAAACAAGAAGCAAGATGGATTCATCATGCAGAAGTATTCGTAAAACATATCAACCACCAGTGCTAATTTGTGCACTTCCTGAGAAAAAGCAAAGGGCAGAACTAATAAAATGATGAGCGACTGTCTGGGAGTAACAGTGAATAAACCAGGCTCCTAAGGCAACCACAGAAGTAGGAGTGGAGATTATATCCCTCGCCCTCAAAAAACAAATATCCCTCACAGTTCTGTTTTCATACACAAGCAAGTGCCCCAGCCTGCCCTTTCTTCAGCAGCCACAAATAGCTTTGAGTCTTTGGTGTTTCGTTTCTCATAAAGTAATTGTTTAAAAACCTCTTGTTGTTCTTGAAGTTTCAATAAACTCATCCATGTTGTGGAAGGAAGGTTCCCCTGAGCTTAAGTGTTTGTGAAAGAATTGCTGCATTTAAAAAAAAACAAAAGACCTACAAGTACCAAAAAAATATAAGTTTTCAGAATAAATGGACACAAGCACACAAATCCGTGCAATGGCATTTGAATTCCAACAGATCTGAGCTAAAGCCGATCGGGTCAAGCTTTCTGCTTGCAGCTCTGCACAGAGTTGTGCCTTTGCAGGTTTGACAATATAAGGCCCCTGCCACACGGGGGGGGGGGGAATGCGCGGCCAAAATAGACACGCCGCGGCGGGATCACACGGATCCCCTGAGCCGCGGCGCCGTTGCTCCCCGGCACGATTAGATACCGGGGAGGAAGCCACAGTTGGAAGACTGAGGCAGCCGGCTGTGCATGCATCTGCATGTGCAGTTCAGCCAGTAACTGGTGATGCGCCGGCAGCAGGACGCGCCGGCGATCCCACGGCCGCGCTTGCCGTGGCCGTTCAGGTAAGACCACCTCTGTCGGTGGTTCTTTTTTGCTGTGAGGTTTCCGGGGTTAGGGACGGATCGGGGACGGGTGCGCGCCGCTTCCCAGATGTTGCGGTGAGATCGCGCCCGTTTGCTGCGGCTCTGATCCATCCCTCTCCCGGGCCAAAACCCTCCGTGTGACCGGGACCAAAGCACAGTTCTATGGAATAACTAAGTAGGTTTTTGTCTGTGTTAGGCTCACTAAACGAAATGTTTTCCTAGCAGCTTTGGAAGAATATAACAGTGGCCTACCATGCAGAGTTGTTGGCATTACTGATATAGCGTATGAGATAATGTGTATATAATGCTTTGAGTGCCTATGCTATAAAAATAGCAGGTGGTATTATTAAAAGTTCTTTAAGCATGAATCCACATACTACCATTGTAAAACCCAGAAATGCAAAATTAATTTTATTCCTACCTTTTGTGTCATTAATACTTTGGCTAGGATTTTCCCCAAGAACTGCATACAAACTGGAAATTAGTGAGCTCAAAATTATGATACACATCACTACTTCACTTTAACTTCACTTTAAAGCTAGCAGTGATTTAAAATGCAACCCATGTAAGAATTTTGCTTAGACTGAAGTAAGCTTTTACTTTATAGGTTCTATCTAATTTTTTTATTCCATCCTTCTTCCTAAGAGCTCAGAGTTTTGTACAATGTTCTCCCTTTTTAGTCTCCCAACAACCTTGCAAGTCAGAACGAGAGTGAGAGACTGGCCCAAATTCACATATGGAGCTTCACTGCTGAGTGAGGGTCTTCCTGGTTCTAGTTTAACACTAATCACTACACCATACTGGCTCTCATTATCATCAATGTAACTATTTCTCAACATGGTCAAATCTCAGGATACTTAAATCCAGAGACTGGGGCCATGACCATACAAGACAGTTCTTTCTAAAAACCTGAAAAAGCCCCAGGTCTGCAGAAAACTGAGGTGATTTGCCATTGCCTGCCTGTGCACAGCAACCCTGGACTTCCTTGGTGGTTTCCTGTCCACGTATTAACCAGAGCTGATCCAGCTTAGCTTCCAAGATCTGACAAAATTGGACTAACCTCAGATATCCAGGTCAGGGCTAAATACAAAGCCTTGGTGTCTGTCAGTAAAAGCCAGGGGCAGGGCCCTTTCTGGGGCTATTTTGGCCTTTGAAGGAGACTCATTCACACCAGGCCTGGCAGCAACCATCAGGAGCGGTGGTGCAGGGAGTAAATGCCTGCTTTAACAACACTCGAGCAGCCACTATGGCTGTTCGAGACCCACTGCGGTCGAGGTGAGCTCTCGACCCTAGTCCTAGCTCCCGCCAACCCAGCGGTTCGAAAGCAAAACGTAAAATCTTAATGTGAGTAGATAAATGGGTACCCACCCTTAGAAGGGTGGGGGGCAGCCTCCTCCTTCGATGAGGCGTGTGGATGGCAACAGCAGAAAC